TCATGAGCTGCTACTGCTGTGTGCAAATGTGTGTGTGTGTGTGTGTGTGTACCTTAGCAGAAGGCCAGCGCACCTTTCAGAAAACACAGCATCAAGAAAGCGTCTCTCTGCTTTTCCATATCATCCTTACTGTCTGAGCCAACAATAAAAAATGTGAGGATGCCTTCAGAACTCAAAAGTAGACTGAAACACATTATACGGCAGATTATACACCGGATAGATCTGGTCCCGCCTGCTGATTTGTCATACAGCGTTCTGGTTTAAAATGTACAATATGGTAACGGCTATGACGTGAAACACCTGTTCACTATATCACTGCTCTTCACCATAGAGACCAACTATTAAACATAGTGTACTTGAAAGGGACTGAGTCTTCTAGCAGTTATGAAGCTGTTTAAGAAAATAATGTTTAATGAAAATTAGTTTCTTTTAACATTTTTTATTATTTAGCAGTAGCTCTCGAATCTTATTACGGTCACATTAGACTTTGAGTATGTGAAACCGGGTGATATGTCCCACTCTTGGCTTCTTTCTTTAATAATAATATGAAAAACGATACAAATAATACTAATTTGTGTTTGTAATGTGAAAACATAGCATCTACTGAATTTGCCAATAACATTTGAATTCAGACAGGAGGTCAATCTGTGACGCTAGATCCTCTATTGGTCCCGCATCTTCTTGTCGTACGAATTTGCGGGTCAGAGTTCACTGAACTTTTGTAGGCAGCGGAGCACAAACTTTCTTCTTCGCTTGAGCTTGTGTTTCCTGTATTCAGGTGTATATGAATAAAAGTCAGTGGAGCTCAAAGTCTAGTGTGAGACTGCGGCTCTTCTGTAGTAAGTTCTTTAGTAAGAACCTACACTTCCGTTCAAAAGTTTGGGGTCGGTAAGAGTTTTGAAAAAAGTTTCTTATGCTCACAAAGGCTGCATATATTTGATAATAAATACAGTTAAAAAAGAACTATTGTAAAATAATTATTTAAAATAACTGTTTTCTATTCTAATATATTTTAAAATGAAATGAATTCCTGTGATTGGAAAGCTGAATTTTCAGCATCATTACTCCAAGTCTTCAGTGTCACATGATCCTTCAGAAATCATTCTAATATGGCGATTTGCTGGTCAAGAAACATTTCTTAATATTGTCAATGTTGAAAACAGTTGTGCTGCTTAATATTTTTTGTGGAAACTGTACTACATTTTTGTCAGAGCTCTGTGATGAATAAAAGGTTCAAAAGAACAGAATTGATTTGAAATAGGCATCTTTTGTAACATTATAAATGACTTTACTGTCACTTTTGATCAATTTAATGCATCCTCGCTGTATAAAAGTATTAATTTATTTTCAAAAAATCTTAAGGACTCCAAACTTTTGAACAGTAGTGTGTACATATCCATCATCTTCAACCAGAGGTCATAGTGTGTGTGTTAATACAATCTTAGCTTGTAACAACCCAGCATAACTTTGAGCAAAGTTTGTGTCTGGCTTGTTATGGCTTACAGCTTTACTGTGCTGTAATTCTGCTGTTTTCTTACTCCCTGTTGTGAGGTCTTTTCTACGAGGATACGGTGAGAACTTTCGAAGCGTCTCAGCTCAAGAGTTTTATGGGGCTTTAGACAGATAAATCATCCAAGCTGATTACTCACTTCGAGTTTACATGTGTGGTTTTATATTTACGTGTGTGTGTGTGTGTGTGTGTTTTTTGTACAAATGTATAGCTTGTGTCATTGAAGGGCAGACATCAAGTGTGGGAGGGCTTATTCATAGAAATGCTGCTTAGAGGAAATTCATATTCAATATTTTTTCCATGCCTGAGTGACAGAGTGTGTGTGAGGGTGTGAATGTGTGTGTATGTACATGTAGGCGGGAATTGAAGCCCAGGTTTTTTATGTTTTTGTTTTGAAGCACCCTCCCTGACTCCCTCTGTGCGGAAGTGTTACCGGAAATAGTGTGCAGCCGCCCCCGGTTCTGCGTCAGTTACGCTGAATAAAGCGAGGGGGCTGGACGGGGGCTTTCCGGGAGGACGTTGAGAAGGGTGGGGGTTGGAGAGGAGGAATGGGGGCAGGGAAGTGTGTTTGTGTGTGCGTGTCTCCGCTGAGGCCATGTGGGTAACAGCCGTCTCTCAACGCTAACTTTATCAGATAAAGCATCACTAGTGCTGGCGCACTTCATACGCGGCTTCCAGTGGCTGTTAACAGCTCCAAAACTCACTTGCCGCACGAATAGAATGTCACAAAAAAAGCAGTGTTTGTTTGTGTGTTCGCGGTTCTATGTTGATATCATTTCACATGAGTTTATACAAGATTCATCTCAGTTTAAACAACTTGGACATTTAAATAAACCTATCACTTGATGTTGTGCTCAAACTAAATAGATCTAATTTTCTATGTTAAAATAGAAAATATATAGACAAAAATTCGCTTCCTCTGCAAAAAGAGAGAGAGAGAAAAAAAAGAAAAGACAGTCGCTCTGGAAAAAAAGTGTGTTCATCTTGCCCATCCTCAGGGATGTTTTCATCTTTTTCAGCTTTTTTCCCCTCTTCTTTTTAATGTATGCCACTTGAGAGAATCCAGAGGGGCTGCACCTGTTTGCCTCTTGGCTAGTCTCTCCACCTCCTGCCCCGGCCTGCCACTCACGCCTCGGCTCCTGTGGGATGCTCTGCATATGTGTATGTGCACGCGTGCGAGCTTTGGGTGTGGAGGAAGGATAGCTGCAGGGCTCGGCAAAGTTTGACAGAGCCTGAGATGCAAGCATGCTCACACACACACACACACACACACACACACACACACACACACACACACACACCACCCATTCACACAAACAGACTTTTCAGTTGAAGTTTTTCAAAGCCGGATTCATTTTTATGGATCTGTGAACAACACTCCTATAGGGGATATTGGGGTAAGCTGTGCCACTTTTTACTTTTTTTTGCTATGAACTGAAATGAGAAGAAAGTGTCTATAAGATATAGCCAAATAAAGACACCCCATAGCCATAATTTTGGGAAAAGTGCTTCTTTTTTTGAGGAGGCATTGCCTCCATTGCCTCCTCGGATGAAACGTCCCTGGTGTGTGTGTATATATATATATATATATATATATATATATATTTCAACCATGACAACTCGCAGAATAGATTTAAACAGCATTTATTGATAAGAGCGGAATGTACATAGGCTCAGTCTGGGCAGACTAAATCTGCTACGCTGCTGCATGAGTGAAGACTACTCCCGAAACATGCACATAAAAACAGTGAATAGAATGCAAACTGCTGCAAGAAAAGAAGGATGAATCCCCTAGCAGATCTAGGCAGGTGGTGCTGGGGAAGGAGGAGGGTTAGAAAAATGTCCATGCCTTGCTGAGTTCGGCCAGTTAGGTATGACAATAAGAGTGTACTCACACTAGGCACGGTTGCCTTGTAATGTTCCCTGGTGCGGTTAGCGATTATCACACTATATGCGTTCCGCGCCCAAGCCCAACCGAACCGTGCTCTGGCCCACCTCTTCCAAGCAGGCCAGGCAGCGGTTAAACAAACGGCGCCCGGGCATGGTACGGAGCGATCACACTAGTCCAACGAACCAGACTTTGGGGGTCAAACAACGTGTTCGGGCACGGTTCAGATTGCCTGGTGTGAGTACACCCTAAAATGTTCTTTTACATAAGTTTTATGTCAGTTTTTAGCAATTTTTTCACATGTACCTCTCAGTCATAAGCAGCATGATGGGCGTTGAATAAATATATGATCACATGGCAACATTTTTTTATTTTACTTGTATTTTTCATACTGTTTTTGCAACCATCCCTCTTTTTTCCTCTTTCTTTTTCCTTTTCTTCTTCGTCTTTTCTTTTTCCCTTCAAATCCACTCTCTCCTTCTCTGTTCACTCATGGATAGCGATAGAGGCACATAAATCTGCACTGACCCCTTCAGGTCACATTAAAGGTCGCCCAGCTTCACACACTAAACCCTGAGGGCCTCTCATCCCCTTCATCCTTCGCTGTCTTTAGATGTCTGATGCGGATAGAGGGAAAAGGAAAAGAAGGAATCACTATCACGTCCCATTCACTCACCCATCCTCCATTACTTGTCTCGTGGATCAATGGTCTCTCCCTCTGCATGGATCTCTCTGACTGAGTTTTGCTGTTATTTAGGGAGTTCAGCATTTCCACCTTTTATTCTGTCATTACTTCTTCATGATTTGTGACCTGTGTTTCATGATTCATGACATGTGAGTGAGACTGATCTGTGTAGGTCATATGACAGCAGGAGAAATTGGAGTGACTATTTTCTGGAATTTAGTGTAAAAACTAACTTTAACTGCAACTTTTAATTCTTTACAACTGCATAATATAAGAAGGTGTTAATATTGGGAGTGGTGTAGCTTAGTGGTTAGATAAATGACTCAAGAACCAAAAGGTTGCACAAGGAGTGTTTGAACTATCACCATTGTGTCATTTGCATTCCCAGATTGCTTTAGATAAAAGTGTCAGCTAAATCAGGGGTTTTCAAACTTTTTGATGCCATCAATCCTGGATCCCTTAAATGTGATCCCCATTATTGATTTTGAATATTATGATTTTAGATTAAACATTAATAATTTGGTCCTTTTTATTTATTTATTTTTAGTTTATTTATTTATTTTTTATTTTTTCATTTATTTATTTACTTTTGCTGATTCAAAACCCCTGTGCTAAATGACAAAATAGAGTAGTGTATCTGCTGAGTTAAATTATGAATTGCTTTATGTCTATGTGTGCACCAAAAACTCTAGCCTTTTATGAATCAGTTTTACTGAAACTGATTCATAATGCAAATCCAAAAACATAATGAATACAACAGTAATACATTCAAAATGTGATTTATCAGCCTAAAGAGAATTGAAAGTGTGACGAATCGGGAACATTAGCCATTTCTCTGTATTGCAGTTCAAGCCAGTAAAATCAGAGAAGGCTGTTCCCAGAGTCTCAGTCTGTCTGTCCCCTCTGTGCTCCTGCAGAACCGTGGGCGACTGGCAGAGAAACGCACCATCCCCTTGCCGCCAACACGGGTGCCCAAAAAGGAGCTGGCCTCCGTTTTCAGCAGTGACGACAGCGAGGGCAGCGAGCGAGCCAGTGGAGATCATGCAGACATCAAACAGGAAGAGCTGCATTACACTATCATGAGAAAGAGGTGAGAATGTGTGTGTGTGTGTGTGTGTGTGTGTGTGTGTGTGTGTGTGTGTGTGTGTGTGAGAGAGAGAGAGAGCGTGGGTGGGCAAAAAGTAGAGTGCCAATCCCTGTGCCAGGGATTGATACATCAACCAGGATCTGCCGGAAAGGGGTTAGCCATATCAGACATCAGTATAGCACCAAAGAGCTTTAAAGAACCCTTAGGTCTTTACCCCCATAGCCCCCTATTTTGACACACACATACCCTTTAACACACAAATTCACTCATTTACTCTTTTGGCAGATACTACAGACACACAGGATGTGCCAACTCTAAATACCCATGCTTGGGAGCCCACAGGATACATGCACAGAAATAAACATGAGGTCTTCTCATGAACCATATGAAAAGTGATATTGTTGATGAGGTATTTGCAGTCATGTGGCAACTTTCTTAATGCCATAGATCTCAGAATGGTTCGAGAGTTTTCACCTTATGCTTTTCCTGATGCGTGTTAAAGTTAAATTTCTCACCTTTAAAATTTTCAGTATGTGCCCTGACCGCATGCATAATTATATTTTGGTCATAGCACTTGCTAAAGAATGTGGGAAGCAAGAGAGTGCTTGGTCACCAACGGCTAAAGGGCTGTTCAGATCGAGGACAAAAACTGTAACAATAAAGTTTTAACAATCGTTGTAATTCTATGAGAATAGTGCAGTCCACACCACAGCTATATAACAATAACAACAGAGGAACAATATCATTGGAATCACTTTCAGAATAATTTTTTTTATAGCTAGTGAACCATAAAAACATTGACAGCCAATCAAAATCCATTTGCCTTTTTTTACATAATTGCAATGCATGTTCATTGGTTTGGAGCCTAGTTATTGCTATAGTAATCTTTATAGTTAGCGTTCCTGGTTTGAAATTACCATGCTGTGTACCACGGCATTTTATGTCAGGGTTTTTGCTCATGTGCTATGGTGGGACCATGGTAGTACCTGAAAGTACCATTTAAATGTTGTAGTGATCATTGAGTACCATGGTGTATCAAAGTACCTGAACTTTTTTGTTTGTGATGCCATGCCATTTATGCTATAACAATCTGGCTAGAGCAGACTAGTGAGTTACTCCACTTACTCCAAGCACAAATAATGGGTCAAATTATCTATTTTTAATTACACTAAGCATATTTATTGATACTTTTTAGTGTTACTTTTTTTTTATTGAGGCCATTGCAATACATTATGGGATTGCAGTCTCTGTGAAGTATGCAATGGTGCTTTAAAATTTGGCCTAAATGAGGCAGCATAATTAAGTTTCCCAGTTTTTGGAACAGTCAAAATATCTGCTTTCCACAAAAAATAAAATTCATCCAGTGATGTGCTACAAATTCCACATCTCCGTCTTCAATCAGTGCGAGGGAATTCAGTGTTCATTAAATCTTCATGAGCTGTGTTTGGCCTCCCTCCTCCTTGGCACACAAGCCTGAAGAAGCTTATGAGCCTGCGGTCAGTGCAGCAGTGAGCTAAGAGCAGTGGCTAAAGCGAACGGTTTTTCCGCCAGTGGTTTCGCTCTGCCTAAATGCATTACAGGTGATAACTATCCAGCAGATGTCAGCCCTGGCAGGTGAGTCTGGGGAACCACATTTTTGTCAGACCATCTCCGCTTGTACTAAAGAACTTGTTGAAAAGCCCGGCCTTGAGGTTCTGATCTATTATTAAGTTTCCTTTAATCACTAGAGCATGCCTTTCAAAGCTGGCTGTTGCTTTGAGAATGCAGGTTTTCTGGCTTTCGGGGGTCTTTAGGTGATTTTTCACTCATGTTTTTTGAATAGAAGTGTCAGCAGCAGTTTCGATGGTGTTTGCAGTGAGAGTTTGTGTTGGCGGTGTATGTTGCGCTATGCTGGATTGTTAAATCTCCAGGAAGCTTCAGTGCTTCTAATGAGAGGAGTAAGAGAAGACAATATTCCCTTTTTCTCATTAGCCACCAGCCCTAGCTCCTGTCAGGTTTTCTTAGAGCAACCGCCAATGCGTATAGCGATAATTTGACTTATTTAGTTGGCGTAATTGTCGTAGCTGTACAGTTATATACTGTATTTTTTTGCTGCAGTAAATGGTGAATGAATTCCAATGGTTGAGTCAGTTGAGTGTAAGAGGCTTGGGTTTATGCCCATTGGTGTTAAGCGGTACATTTGGGTCATTACACAGCACTGTTAGGATATCATTCTCAAGACAGCATTTACGTATGTATGAGGCCATGCCCTCTTCCAGCATAGGCAGGTCATAGCTGAATCAGTCCTTTTTGTTGAGCCCTACAAGCTAACAATATTCATTAAAAATATCATTGGCCAAAACTGAGTGATGTGAGGGTGCTTAATACTGTGCTGTGCATTGAAAACACCACGTGTTTAAGCGTAACTTGAATTTGATTTTGTTGTGGAATAAAGAAGGGCTTTGAGTTCTTACCTTGGAGCGGATCAGCCCTGAATGCCCAGGTACAAATATAAGCCCTCATCTGCAAGAGTTTCTTGGTCACTTCCTTCTCTCAACCCCGAGCCGCTGGCTCCTAGCAGCCACTTACCCTGTGACATCGAGGACGGCACAGGAACCAGAACCGGCCAGCTAAACTCATTACAGTGATCTCCCCCCAACACTTCAGAGGCCCGCGTGTGAAGATGCTAATGAATTTAAAGAACACTTATGACTAATATCTAGGGCTTTTACCCTGTTAAAGGCGGCGGACTGCAAGGAGCCACGTCTCTTCTCTGTTCCGGGGCCGCTCACCTCACCCCTACTTTACTCAGATGAGGATCTGACCGAAAGAGATAATGGGATGTTCAATCTATGAAATTCAATTTCCATTGATCTGGACTGGGTAAGTGAGTTGTGGAGGGGTCTTAACAAATTGGATTTAGTCAATGGATGGTGAAGGATGGGGAATTCTTTTTTGCGTTTGATCGTATTTACGCCTCATCATTTGCAGTTTATATTAGTGTTGTGGTAGTGTGCATAGCGTTTCTTCAGTCCAAATGTATCTGCTTATATATAGTGGAGTCCCAAACACAAGACATTTTTCTAATTTAATGCAATTTTTTCATGGCAAACTATATTATCATCTTTGAATGAAAAGTAGCATTTAATTTCAGAATGCCTTCGTATTTGTTTTTCACTTTTCCTTTAATGACTGCAGCACTTTAGCTGCATGCACTCCACAAGTTCTTGCTCTAGCATGATTTGAGATGAACCTCTTGAGCTTCAGTGGAAGAAGAACATCTCACCATCTGTACAAAGTAGTTCACATGATCAGTGTCACAAATTTATTTGGATTGGTGACGTGTATTAATCATTTCATGTCAATGTTTCTTCGTTTAAATTTTTTTAAATCCTAAAACTTTCTGTTTATTTACAGGTTTAAATAAGATTTTCCCAGATTTTCTATGTGGACTCAGACTTTTGGACCCCACTGTACTTTAACATTCTGCCTAAAGGTATTTTAAACCAAAAATAGTGCAATTTCACATGAGGCTGACGAATATACATTTCCGCAATAGTGTGCAGTCAGTTTTCAAGGGATTTCCAGCCACTGCCGTGAGAAAAGCTGGTACACTTTGACACCTTAAAGAAGACTCCCTAGATCTTTTAACCAGATTAATGTTAATGGCCAGCAGGTTTATAGGTGATTAGTCCTCATTCCTCCTGTATCCTGCAGGGATACAGACCTTTCTTTCTTCAAAAACAAGCAGTGCTTAGCCTGAAGTGTAGCGCCTTAGCTTGGTCTTTTATATTCCTTTATCTTAGTGATTTCGCATGTGGAGGTTGAGGGTCTTCGGGTCACGATGCACTAGAATATCTGTATAAATACCGTACTGAATAACAGAATAACAGGCTTGGTTTTATAATCTTTGAAATTTAATTAAATCAACCGATAAAGACAACGTCATGCATCGACTGGCATCCTATCTGAAAACAACCACTTTCGCGATATGCTTTAGCAATAAAATTTGCTGGTATGAGATGTTTGTCTTAGTATTAGTCTTCAAGGTCATGCCAATCATTTCCTGAAGCCTACCTGTGCACAGTCAGGTGTGTCAACACCAGGGCTTTGAGAAGTGCTGACTGCTTGTCTGGGTAATTACTGAGTAACCATCATGGATTATATAAGATAGTATACTTACTCAGAGGACAACCTGCTTAGAAAAGCCTCCAAAAAAACATTGCCCATCCCATATGTTCTATTGTAATATTTCTAATGTAATTATAAAGCCAATTTCTTCTCTTGTGTATAACTACCTGGTATTTAACTGCTGATTTATTTAGGATACTCTCATGATTTTTGTTGATTTTGTTTCTTATTTACAACCTATGGAAAAAACTAAGTGCAGAAACATAAGTGGATTAGATGAAGGAGGGGAGGAGGAGGCAGGTTGATTCCAGAATGGTGGACCCTCCCCTTCAGCACGAGGGACAGGGAAAGGAAATAAATCAAACAACTGTTGCACCTGTCTGGATAGAAATTCTGTTTGTCTTCCCCCGGGTTTCTGCGGCCTCTTCAGAGAAGGGCCTGACCTGTCTGTGTTTAGCATTGGAAGCGTTTGTCCAGCAAGGCTTGCCGTCTTCTTCCCTGGTGGCTGTCTGGACCTGAATGTAAGCATTTGGCTATCCAGAAGTGGAAATCAGCTGGTCCAAACCTCAGGACTGAAGCCAACCCAAACCGCTGTCTTTAGCGCACTGTAACTGGCCAGGCTCTTAAAATGCTGGTATGTACAGTCAAGGGCATTTTCATCTGACGCTTAAACTGTTTTTTTTAAAAAAAACATTTATTATTATAGCAATATTGTTGAGTGTCTCGACACCAGTGTTTTGGTATTTTTGGAAATTTTATTCTGATGTACTGTACAACAGACAAAATTCTAGACCCACATGTTATACTGTACATTTACAAGGAATGGGTAGTAGGAATGGGTAGTTGTGAATAATTTTCCTTTAAAGTGTTTTTGCAAAAAGACATTCGGCTGA